TAGGGTTTCTCGGTGTATCCGTGACTGTCCTGGAACTCGATCTGTAGAGCAGGTTGGCCTTGAACTCAGATCTACCTACCTCTGTGTCCTGAGTGCTGTGATTGAAGGTCTGAGCCTGGCGGCATGGGTGTAAAGACCTGCTATCTGGGGCTGAAGAGATGGCTCAGCAATGAGCAGCACTGGCTTCTCCTGTAGAGAACCGGGGTTCAGTTCTCAGTACTCACATTTTGGGAGTCATCTTGGCTCCAGTTCTAGGGATGTGATGCCTTCTTCTGGCCTCTGAGGACACTGCACACACATGGTGACCAGCTATACATGCACGCAAAGCACCGGCACACATAAACATTTTTTAAAATGGCTTTAAAATACAGCATCAGAACAATATCCAATGCATAGGCCACATTCAGCCAGTGTGCTGTGGCCTAAGTTACCTAGAAGACAGGGAGTACCCCAGATGGCCCTGGGCGTCTGGTTAGATGTGGAATGAATGAGGTAGGTCCCCAAGGCCTGGCCAGTCTGGGAATGAGGTGGCTGAAGGAAAAGAGAAGGCTGCATAACTGGGTACCTTCAAGATGCTGCTGGGGTTGTAGAAGAGATTCTCAGGACATCGCCCCTTTGGTTTCCAGGGTGACCAGCGAGAGGAAGAGGAAGAGTCCCAGATGAAGAAGTCAGAATCTGAAGTGGAGGTGAGTGCGGGGGATGGCGAGTAAGATGGACAAGGGCTGGCTCAGCCAGCTAGCCATGCCCAGCTCGTTCACGTTGTCCTTGTGCCCTCAGGAGGCTGCGGCCATCATTGCCCAGCGGCCTGATAACCCACGGGAGTTCTTCAGGCAGCAGGAACGAGTTGCGTCGGCCTCTGCTGGCAGCTGTGATGCGCCCTCACCTTTCAACCACCGACCAGGTAGTTCTTGGCCCTGTCCTTGCCCCAACCATATTCCTCAGACTGTGGCCCTAATTCCCTGTGGGACAACTTCTTGGAAAAGAAGCCTTGCCCAAGGACTCCTTGGAGAAGGCAAGACCCCTTCGGTGTGCTTCTGCCCACGGCTTTGCAGGTGGTGGCACCCACGGGGCTGGGTTGCGGGCAGTGTCCGTGTTGGCCGTTGGCTGAGCAATGGATAGTACTGAGGCCCAGTTGGGCAGCTTTGGTGCAGGGGCAGACACAGGGCTGGTGTTGGGGGCTTCCATGTGGGCTGAACTAGGTCTGGCCTGAAGGCTTGGATGCATGGGTAGGGTGGGGTCTTGCCCTGGCCTTTAGTTTGAGCATCCTGGAGCAGCTGTCTTCTCGGATCCTGTTTGGCTTCTCCTTGTGTAGCCTCTGCCTCCCCTCGAAGCGCCCTTCTGTTTCTTGTCTGCTGGTCTGAGTAATTGCATCTACTACTGTGTGCTTGGTCATGTGCTGTGGCCCCAGGAGCATGGCGGACTACACTCATTTGTGCTGCTACTCAGCCTGGCTGTGTGTGCCCATGTGTGTGTCTTGTGCTGGCTGGGGGGGGGGGCGGGGCATCAGATCGCTTGAGGCTATGGCCCAGCTTGGCTGAATGATGGTGGCTTGGACATGTAGGGCTGGCCCTGGGGCTGGGTGAGGCCTTGGGCGGGGGTGGGGGAGACTGACCCTCTCTTGTCCTCTGTCTCTTTCTCTGTCTGTCTCTCTTGGCAGGTCGTCCGTACTGCCCTTTCATAAAGGCATCGGACAGTGGGCCTTCCTCCTCCTCCTCCTCCTCCTCTTCCCCTCCACGGACTCCCTTACCCTATATCACCTGTCACCGCACCCCAAACCTCTCTTCCTCCCTCCCATGTAGGTAGCAGCCCCAGGCCTCGGCAGGGTGGGGTAAGGAGGGCCCCGCTTCCCAGCAGCCCCCTCGCCCTTTCTCCCCCAGCCTGACTGCTGACTGCTGGTGTTTGTCCCCAGAGCAGGTACTACCTGCCACTTGTCCCTGGCCCTGCAGGGCACTGGCCCCCAGGGGCCTGATTTACAGGGTCTGGAGCAGTAATCTGGCCCCTGAGGGGCCTGGGGAGCTCATCGCCCCCACCCATACTCAAGACAAGGTGGATAGTCCTGATTCCACCTGGCTCCCCGGCCCTCACTGACTAGCCTGGGCATCTGTTCCACAGGCAGCCACCTGGACAGCCACCGGAGGATGGCGCCTACTCCTATTCCCACCCGGAGCCCATCTGATTCCAGCGCAGCCTCCACTCCTGTCACTGAGCAGATTGAGAGGGCCCTGGATGAGGTCACATCCTCACAGCCTCCACCCCCACCCCCGCCACTCCCGCCAGCTCAAGGTGAGAGAAGGGTTCCACCTGTATCCTTGCATCAGTCTCTGGTTGCCACAGTAACATAGTTCAAAGGGAACTGGACCACTCATCCCCAGCACCACACTCAGGAAGTGGCTGTAGCAGAGGCGAGGTCTGGTGTTGCTGTCAGCCCAGCCTTCTCTAACCCTCGCTGGCTCCCCACTGAAATGACCATGTGGCCTCCCTCCCTGGGCTGCCCGGTGGCTTTAAACCAGCTGGTGCAAGGAGAGCTAGGTGCAGCCGGTGCCGAGAGCGCTGCTCCCTCCCAAGTCCCTGACTCCCTTCCTCTTCTGTGGCTGGGCAGGGCACTGCCGATTGGCCCAGGGCATCTGTCTTTCCCGCATGGGTGCTGACCGCGTTGTATCCCTCATGCGTCCTGTGACAGAGACCCAGGAGTCAACCTCCAGACTGGATGGTGAAGACAACAGCACGGAGGGCAAAGCAGCAGCGACCCCTCGGGCCTGGGCCGGCTGTGCGGAGGGGCCCCCTCAGGCACAGGACCCTCCCCTGGTGCCAAGCAGCCCCGTGGAGGACTTAGTGTGTGCAGAATCCCCAGCGCAGGCTGCCTCGGCTGCCCCTGCAGAACCCGCTGCCTCTGTCACCTCAGCAGCTGGCGACACCATTGAGGCCGCCGCTGCCACTGCTGCCACCACCATTGCCAACAATGTCACCCCTGCCAGCCTCATTGATCTATGGCCTGGCAATGGGGAAGAGGCCTCAGCACCTCAGGCTGAGCCCAGGGTGCCCACACCACCCTCAGGTGCTGAGGCCGCCCCGGCAGAGGTACCGCTGCTGAATGAGGCGGCTCAGGAGCCGCTGCCTCCAGCGGGCAAAGGCTGTGCCAACCTCCTTAATTTTGATGAGCTGCCAGAACCTCCAGCCACCTTCTGTGACCCAGAGGAGGAAGCCGACGGGGAGCCGCTGGCTGCCTCCCAGGTCTTAAGTATGCCCTCAGCTCTAGAGGAGGTAGACCAGGTCCTGGAGCAGGAGCTGGAGCCAGAACCTCACCTGCTGACCAATGGAGAGACCACTCAAAAGGAGGGGACCCAGGTGGGGCTGGCCTGGCGGGAGCAACAGCAGTCAGGGCTAAGGGGGAGGGCTGACGGCTTGTAGATCATACTGAGAAGCAGCTCTGTTCCATTCCCCTTCCCCTGTCTGCATTTGTTCCCTGGCAGGCAGGCATCTGTGTTTCCCCAGCAACCCCTCTTGGAATCCTTGGTTGCCAGGGAAACAGACTAATGCCTGATAGATCAGCTGTAGCCCTGGCTGGTGGGCCTAGTGACCTGTGCTCCCTAACTTTTCTTTTTAAACCCAGCAGGCCAGCGAGGGCTACTTCAGTCAATCACAGGAGGAAGAGTTCGCCCAATCAGAAGAGCCGTGTGCAAAGGCTCCACCTCCTGTATTCTACAACAAGCCTCCAGGTAGTACTTGTCTGGATGAATGATGGGAAATCTGGTGACAGAATGGGATTTGAGGGCTAGCAGTGTCACTGGACACAGCTGGCACAGCTCTTAGAGGTTGGGGGACATTTGATAGATGTGCCCAGCCTTCTCCTCTCCTCCTAATATATCCTAGAGATCGACATCACCTGCTGGGACGCAGACCCAGTACCGGAAGAGGAAGAGGGCTTCGAGGGTGGTGATTAGTAGTGGCAACTGCCCCCTGGCTGCCTTCGCCAAGGCTGCCCACCTGCGGTAGCCTCTGGCCAGACGGCTTGCAGCGCCTGATTAGCGGCGGCCCCGCCTGGCACCCACTCTGGACTCCGGCTCTGGCCGGGGATCTGTCTGCTTCCCTACCCACAGGGCCTGACTTTTACAGCTTTTCTCTCTCTTTTTTCTTTTTTTAAAAGTTGATAGACTTGTACAGTTGACTGGTTTTCCTCCCGTTGGTAGTTGAGATGGTGTTGCAGATTCCACCCCCTTCCTGCCCAGACCAGACTGTAGCTTAGTCTCTCCGCTCGGCCGACCAGGGTGGAGGCCTCACCCTGCTTGGGACCTGGTGGGAGTTGGGGGTTCTGGTGGGAAAATGTTCCCCCCATCACTTTTCCTAGTTTTATGTTTCTTGGAAAAAATATCACTTTGTATTCTCTATCCAGGGCTTCAGATATTTTGCACGAATTTTAAACCATGGCAATAAATGGCTCGTGGGCTCTGGCTCCCTGGGACCCTTCCCCTTCTCTTCACCCTCGCTGCTTGGTCGAAAGGAATTATCAGGCCCACCTGGGGCCCTTGGCTTCCCGCCCTCTCCTGCCGGGCAGGTCCCAGGCTGGAGGTCCTAGGCGTGACTCAAGAGTCAGGGCTTATAGATGGGACCCAGGGGTTTGGGTGCCCCCTCCCGTTCCGTCGCCTCTGCTTGGGTTCTTTTTCACATGAACTTCCCCCGTTTTCCTTTTTTTTTTTTTTTTTTTAAAGCACAACTTTATGTAATGGGTCATGCTCATGTCTGTTAATAAAGAAATCCAGATCCCTTCGGGCCTGCTGCTCTGGGCCTCCAGGGGTTGATCTGGCGTGGGCGCCGGCCCTCAAGACCCGCTCCCCAATTCCTGTCACCTCCGAGGCTACAGGGGGCGCACTTGTTATCCTGTGGACGACTCATCTCTGTACACATACGCGCCCCAGCAGGCCAGCAGTCAGGCTCCTTCCCTAAGGTTCAACGTGCCTGGTCTCTAGCACCTTCGGCTTAAAGCAGCTGGTGTTCCCCTCCGCTTGTACCAAAGCAGATCACACACCTTTATTATCCTCAAAATGTAACAAACGGGGTAAGAAATCCCACCCTCCCCCCACCCGTCCCTGCAGTCCAAGGGAAGCATTTAAAAAGCCCCGCAGTCAGGCTAGGAGTTCGCCCGTGGGGCCCGGGACGCCGGGCGCCCCTCTATACGGCTGTAGTCCTCCCGAACAAGGGGATGGAGACTGGCAGGCGCCAAGCTCCGTGCTCCAGGGGCTCGCGGCTGCTGAGCTCTGAGTCGGTCCAGCTGGGGAAGACCCGGCGGCTGCGGTCAGCCTGCAGACAGAGGGTGGGGCAGGGGGCGGCGGGCCGCGGGGCGCTGGGAAGATGCAGCGCCGAAGTATAGCCCCGGTCCAGGAATAGAGGCTTGTAACTGGGAGGCGGCTGCTCCTGCTTCTCCGCGCTGTCGCGGCGGCTCAGAAAGGGCGTGACGATCTTGCGGTAGAGGCCGCGAGTGTCCGTGAGCACCTCGCTGTAGGGCGGCGGCGGTTCGGCCATCAGCACCGCCTCCTCGTAGCACGGCGGCTTAGACATGTCCGATTCCGCTGCGGAACGGGAAGCGAGCGGGCTGTGAAGATGAAGCCTCCGGCCCCGGCCTCCCGCAGAAGCCTCGCCCCGCCACCACCACCCCAGCCCGCTTCTCCCGATGCGTCGGCAGGGAGCGCTCGCCCGCCTCAGCGCAGCCTTACCTTGGCGCGGGTAGCTCCAGGGCCGAGGCGGCACGGAGAGGTGCGGTGGCGGTGGGTGCGGCAGTGCGTGATGGTGTGGGTGCGGGTGCGCGTGCGGCTGCGCGGGCCCGTGGTGCAGCAGCGGGTGTACGTGCACGTGCGAGTGCGCGTGCACAGGCGCCTCCAGACGGCTGCGGTGCGGTGGTGGTGGCGGCGCCAGGCCCGGAGGACTTCCAGCCAGGCTGCCCTCAAGCTCGAGGGGCTCCAGCTCCAGAGCACGCAGGTTCTGCTCCCTCAGTCGCTCCTCCTGGCGCCGTTTGAGGCGGCGGCGCAGGAAGCTGCAGAAGCAGCAGAGCAGGACGATGAGACCCCAGATGAGCCAGAAGCCGGCGAAGCACGTGAGGAACGTGTAGGTGCCCTGGGACATCACCATGGCTGCGGCGCAAGCGGCAGGTCCTCGGCAGCTTTACTGGACGCTGGGCTCCTCGGCGTGGCCCCGGGGCCGCGCCACGCTCCCAGGTGCCGCCAGCGTCACTTGGGGACCTGCGGCCGGGGGCTGCCTGCGGCGGGGCTCAATGGGCGCGCATGCCGGCGGGGGGCAACTTTGGTTCCCGCTCCTTTCCATGGCGCCGGCCGGCGCGGGCCTGCTTCACCCGGGGCCGCGAGCGACCTGCGGGGCAGACACAGGGCTCAGCGAGGCTCGCCGGGATCCTGGGTGACTCCCGGACTGCACCCGCGTCCCGCGCAGGGCCGGGGATGCCTCCTCGGTGGGAACCCCCGCACTCCCCGGGGGCCGGGTGACGTCACCGAGGGATGACGTCACTGCCCGAGGTTTCCCTGATAGGGTTTCCCCGAATCGAGACCTGGCCACCGCGTGCCGACGCGACCCAAGACGGGCCAGCAGAGGGCGCGCGGAGTCCGCCCGCAACCCCAGGGTCCAGCTCGAGGTGGTTTCCGAGGCTGTGTGACCACTAGGGCACTAGGGTAGTCTAGGCGCGGTTACTTTGCGTGAGGAAAAGGACAGTCCATTAATTGCAGGTCCAGAAGCAGCCCGCTTGGCGCCCAGCTTCTGCCCTGTGCTGCTTCCAAATATTAGCCACGCCTTTAAGAGACTGGCGGGCGGCTGCCACTGCATGCCACCGGCCCTGCCTTTGTCTGCTCCCGACGCGATGTGTTGGGCATGGGCCAGGCGCTCTTTCCTTCTTTCTAGGCGCCTCTGCCAGCCGCATTCCAGCCCCAACTTGACTTCCCTCACCACGTACTCATGCGCAAACCCCGCTTGGTGCACCTCTCTTACTTCCAGCCTCCCCCCCCCCTTCCACCAATTCCTTTCCCTGTTTGCAGAGGGGTGGAAAATTAGATGAGAATTTGTCTTTCGGACCCACCTCCTGTCACAGCAGGGGGCCGAGGACATCTCTGCATCGGGAGAGAATGCAGGAGCCCTGACTGCTTAGTTAAGGGCATCAAGCAACAGACGGGTTACCATCCTTCCTCACGGCCCCTTTTGAATGCCTTCTACCAGGAGCTCTAACACAACCCACTGGATAATGAAGTATTCCTGATGCACAGCTGAGAATTGGAAGAGCAGTTAACTGCACAGATGGCAGCGCTAATTCGAACCTAGGCCTAGCAGCAAAGCCCTGGCCTGAGCTTGTGGAAAACTCCAAAGGGCTGCCTGCCCTTGGCACAGTACCACTCACTCAGCTTTGGTTGCCATCCCCTTACGATCCCAGCTGAAAGGGCGCCAGGCCTTGGCCACTCCATCTTCCCCCAGATGGCTCCTGTCTGACTCTCTGGCTGCCTTCAGCCATGTGTCCCTTGGTACCCATGCCAGGCCTATCCTCCTGGGCCTGCGTTCCAGAGCAGGGTGGGAACAACAGCTCTGCCCGCCCCCTCGACAACCCCACCATGAGGCTGCCATGGTGACGCAGCCCAGATAAAAACACGATGCTGCCAGTCACTGGGAGTTAATTAAATCTGTTATTCTCCTTTCCTTGAGCCCCCAGGAATAGGAATGTTCTGAGGAAACAGTTTTGGCCAAAAGGGCAGAAACAGTCCTTGGTCAGAAAAGGATTTCTGTGGTTGGAGGTAAAGGTGCTTTCTAAATTGGAAGTGTCTATCAAGGGGTGGGGGTGGCTTGAGCCCTAAAGACTGGCCACCATGGACAACATGGCATCATGGTTCTGAGTGTATGAATACAAGGGAGCTTCAAAATGTCTGTCAAGGTCATCAGAACTTGTCCCTTCTTCCCATGTGCATTTCTGTTGCTTTTGAGACAGGTGTCACTACATAGGACAAGCTAGCCTCAAGCTCAAGAGCATGTGCCACCACACGGGGCTCCTCGCAGAACTGTAACAGTATTAAAATCACCTTGCCACACCACCACTTGATGGAGTGACAAGCTTAGAAGGAAGACTCGCTTCGGTTGTACAGCTGATGAGGGTTAAGGTTTTCCTGTGGGGAGCTACAGATGGAAGCTCTGGTGTCAGCTCGGCATGTCAGAGCTTGGTGGCTAACTAGTAGCCAAAGTATGTGTTCCTGTTCCTTCCTGTCAAGGCCTTGGATCACCTGTTACGGCGTAGCTCACTCAGGGAAGTACTACAGGGTGGAGAGAGATTGACAGCTTGAGGCTCAATGTGGAACAAAGCACAGAGACTATGCCACCAGAGTATCTCGCTCAGCAGACTGGGCATTGGGCCAGATTCCAGAGCCTAAACCCACAATCTGTGTGCTGCTGTCACTGATGCAAGTCCATTCTGCAAGGACCAGGAGCCGCCACTGACTGCACTGTGTACAGACTAGGGGTCAGAGAGAAATCCCTTCCCTGAGAACACACCACTGAGCCAGCGTCTGACGACAGTCCAACTAATGCTGAACACGCTCTCTTCGTGGGGCTACCGAGGGCCAGTCATGCCTGAAGCCTTCCTCCTGTACGTTATCTAGTCCACAACAGTTGTCGAGTACATAAGCATCAGGGGGGTCATTTGGATTTCTTGAAACGTTCTACTGAACAGGCCAAACTCTCCAAAGCTGCTGCCCCAAGGCTCTTCCCCACCTCTGCACGATTGGGCCCTAGCTGGAGGAACCTGCAGCCCCAGACCCAAAGCCTTCTGGCTCCACAGCTGACAGCAAACGCCTGCCACTTGCTCACCTCCCTGTTGGGAACCATGCCCTCCAGATGGACTCAAGTTTGCATCTGCCATATTACTCTTTCTGTATTCCCTCTTCTGCTTTATTCTTGCAGATCGCTGGTTGCCCAGGGTTCCATCTTGGTTTGTGTAGCATTTTATGGCTTTGCTGGGTTCTCTTAGACCATCCTGGGATTACACCAAGGGACAGAAGCAAGAGCCCCAGGTGTTTCCTCTCCACTTTGCTGCCTATTTCCTCCTGAATCACCATGGGAAGGGTTAAGCTAGCCACTGCAAAGGGCAGAGTTTTCTGGGGCTGGGGTGAATGTTTCAGACTGGTATCTCTGAAGCTTGTACAATGTCTGAAATGCATGGAGAGGGAGCTTTGTCCAGACCCAGAAAGCTAGTGCCACTGTCACTCGGTTCAGTAAGTCTGGGGGAGGGTAGTCCTGTTCATGTTTTCTAGTCTATCTCAGTCGATAGCCCAGGCTGTGTCCTTAAACTCATGACAATCCACCTGCTTCCATTTCCCAAAAGCTGGGATTACAGGCAAAAGCCACCACACCTGGCTTCGGAGTCCATACTTCTAACAATTTCCTAGTAGATGTGAAGCCAGAAAAACCCTGTGACCTAGATCCTGGCCTCCAGAATGAGTTCCTGCCAGGCCCTCTTGGCCTTCTCCAACATTCCCCAGAGAGTCTACCCTGAGCCACCTTGCCGCCCTGGGCTGAGTAAAAGCCTACTGACCTCGGAATGCTCTAGAGTATTAATGAAGGCTTGATCGGCTGGCACACGGTGGCTAAGAGCCACTTGTTGATACCCTGTCCGTCACCCGTTTGACACCTCAGCTGCAGGGGAGGGGACCCTTCGGGAGCTGGGTCAGCTTTACACGTCATTCTTGGGAAACGGTACCGAAGAAGCAGCTATTGCCCAGCTCTTAGCCCATGTAGGGCATTTTGTTTTTTCAAGATAAGACCTCACTATTTAGCTCCAGATGTCCTGGAACTGACTATGTAGATCAGAGTGGCCTTGAACTCAAAGGGATCCTCCTGCCTCTGCCTCCCAAGTACTGGTATTAAAGGTGTGCACCACTATACCTGGCCTTGGAGTGGGCTATAACTAAATCAAAACTCCAGTCATCTATGGATAAAAGGAAAAACAATACAGAGGCACGGAGTGGAGAGTGGTCGGGTCACAGGGACTCTGCGTGACAAAATGGAACCCTAGGCTTGAGGAGACGCACGGGAGGAGTGGCAGTGTAGTGGGGTGGGTAGGGGACAGCAGCTGTCCCCTATCCCGGCAGGTATCACTAGCCTATGCAGTTGTGATTTCAGCGGTACTCAATTGATTGGAAAGGAAAGCCTTGTCCTGGCAAGAAAGGCATATCAGAGGGACATGGGTGATATTTCTACACCTCCTTCTCACACCCACCCAGATGTATGGAGGCCACTGAGAGCCGAACTTGTTGCAGCCCCCAAAGTCAGCCTGGCAAGGAGCTGGCCATAACCTCATAACCTCACTTCCAGTAGGACTCAGTAATGGCTGGGACCCTGGCCTTCAGGGTCCTGACCCAGGCCTGTGAACTGACCACGACACAAAGAACCTGCAATGGGACATCTGAGCCCAAGCGGATCTGCTGACACCAGGGTTTCTTTATATGCTCATTTTTCAGATCTGGCCCTGTCAGGGTGTGGGAGAAATGGGGTAAGACATTGAAAGCCCAGACTCAGGTAGAGCCCACCTTTAATCCCAGTACTCGGGAGGCAGAGGCAGGAAGATCTCTGAGTTCAAGGACAGCTTGGTCTACAGAGTAAGTTCCATGATAGCCAGAGCTACACAGAGAAACCCTGTCTTGAAAAACCAAAACAAACAAGCCCATACTCATAGAAAAACCTTACTCCTGTGGTGTCCTGTGTTTCCATTACCCATTCAGCATGGACATGATAATTTGTTTTTGCAAATGAGGAAGGAAGCCACGTGATAGGGAAAGCTAATGCTTGTGTCTCATACGGAGCAGCCTGTGGTAACATGTCAAGTACTGAGGGAGGCATGAATTCAAATCCTGTTTCTGCCCTAACTGAACCATGTGATCCCATCCTAGTCTCACACTTCACGTGGCTTCTTTGCCTGGAGACAGGGATGGTAAGATCTGCCTTAGGGGCTGAAGAGTTAAGAGCTGAGGACCTGGGTTAAGTTCCCAGCATCCACACAGTGCTCCACAAAGAGCCGAAACTCCAGTCCCAGGACATAGAGCATCCTCTTCTGACTTCCACGGACACCAAGCTCACACACAGGGTGCAGAGATACATGCAGGCAAAACTCACGCATAAAGTGAATAAATCTTAAAACATCTTCTCCAATAATGCCTGAGGTGGGGGTGGGGGACAACTGGTGAGGAACACTTTAAGTCCAATGTACACACCTGCATGTGGCCAACTGAGGGCCAGCACCCAGCATCGTGTCTGTCGGCGGTCCAGTGGAGATCGTCCCCACTTTATCATGGATTGCATGCAGCCTAAGAGTTAAGACCTTCAACTTTAACACAACTCATGGATGTGTTTTGTTGGCCAATGACTAATAGTTTTTTTTTTTCAATATTCATTTTCTTCCCAACATTTGCATAAAGGCCAGTTTTTATGCTTGATCTCCAAAACCGATGCTCTAAACACACAGAGTCCACAACGGATTGTGACACGAATTGATAAGCAGGTGCCTGGCTGCCTCCCTCTTCCCACTGGCCCTGTGACCTGTGACCTATGGAGGCATTTGGGTTTCCAGCCTCAGCAGGACTGGCTAACCACGGAGTCCAGCACGGTGAGGCCTGTACTTCTGCTTAAGAGACTGGGGTCTTCCCAAGGGGCGAAAGCAGCCCGACTGAGGCTTGGGCTCAGCTAGAGAGAAAATGGAGGAGGGAGGGGGGCAGCCTACCAGTAGCACACCCTACCCTGACTGTGAGGGGGGGAAGCCGGCTGGTTCAGTGGGAACAAGGAAAGGCGCACCAAAGGCTTCAAACGGGTAAGTTCTTCGCTGGAGGAACATGAAGGAAGGCTAAGAATGGTCCTCTGGCAAGCTCCTGCCTGGATCACATGGCTGAGAGGGGCTGTGGTAGCAAAGGAGCCTGCAGGAGACTGGGCTCTTCTGCAGAGGGGTCGTTTGACCTTGGACAAGTCTCTTCACCTCCTGAACCCCGTGAGACTTCATGTCTAAAACAGGGATAACAAACTTACCTTGCACAAGTGCTCTAAGATCAGGAGACCGTGAATGCAGAGCACTCCGAGCAGGCAAAAAATGAAAGGAACCTGTCACTAATTCCCCAGGTCCCTGCCTTCGGGACCTCAGGCCTGACTTCCCAGGCAGCACCCATTTAAGGGCATCGTATGCCAAGGCCTCAAATGCCCCAGGTCCTGGGTACCAAGTACTTCACTGGAGAGAAAACAAAACAAAAAACCCCATGGTGGCTGTGGTCTCGAGGCCTGTGGTCAGGACTGGCATCTGCTGAGTCAGGCCCTACTGCAAGGGGGCCGTTTCTCTCCCCAGCACACTGCCTGCTGAAGGGAGGTTGGGAGGGGAGCCAGAGGTCATTTCCTCTGACTCAGCAGCCATTCGAGGGGCTCCCTTGGGTAGGGCACCTCCATGTGGCACTGGCCTCTTTGCAGGCCAACCTCCATGTCACCCCACACAGTCAGGGCATTGTGCACAGACAAGAAAGGGGCACTGTGGTCCAGACAATGAGCTGGGTCGCTCCTATCTGGCCTGGGACTGGCTTCCTCGGGTCAGCAATGTCCTTTGCTCTGCTTCTATCCTCCCTGGAGAATGGCGGCCAGGACACCAGGTGGGGGCCCACCGCAGGCCCGTGATTTGACACATACCCTGGCCATGAGGGGAAAGGCTGGCTAGCTTATTTCCTCTTCCCTAGTAAGGAAAAATCACCACCGAAGAAAGGGATTTTGGACCAGGCCATGTCGCAAGGGCGCGAGAGACCACCCTAGTGCTGGTACTAGTGATGGTAGTATCCGACAGAGACCCCAGACCCAACCTCCAGGCCTGTCCCTCCCGAGGCGGCCCAGACCCTGGGCCGCCTCCACGTTCGCAGCCACCCTGGGAGCCCTGTTGCGACGACTGCAGCCACGTGGGAGCCGGCTCGTGCCCAGAGCCTCTCGCCCTTACCCCCACCCTCGACGTGATCAGGCAGGCACACCCAGACCGGCCAGAGGAGCAATGCTCTCTCCACAGTGCACCCCCTTCGTCCCTGTCCCCCCCCCCGCCCGCGCCCCCGGCCGTGGTGGGGGAGGGGGCGTCGCCACCCCGCAGTCGCGTTGCTGGGGAGCGCAACCCCGTTGCTGTGGCAACGGTTTCCAAGCGAACCGGTGGCGGCTCGCGCCCGGCTAGGGCTCCCTCGCTCACTGGCGCTCCTTCCCCTCCTTCCTTCCCTCCGGTGTGGGCTGGGGGAGGGGCTGCCTGCTGTCCCGGTCGGGGTCCGGGTGGCGTTACCAGGCTAAGGCTCTGAGCCACCCGCAGGGAGGGTCATCAGCCCGAAGACCATCTTCCGCCCGCGTCCTGTTCCCGCCCGGCCCGCAGCCGTCGCGGTACTCACGGGCCCAGGCATCCTCCTCGAACTCGTCTTCCTGCCTCGGGACGAGCGGCCCAGCGGACAGAAGCCCCAGCTTGGAGCAGGCGGCGGCCCGAGGGAGCAGACAGTGGCAGCGAAAGCCGCTCCGAGTGCTGGGCTGGAGGCGCGGGGCGCGCGCACGGGCGCGTGCTGAGCTTGGCGTGCGCGCGCGCGCAGCCGACAGAGGCACCCCCCACCCCCTGCTACATACACGCCGCCGAGGCTGCTGCGATGAGGGAAGGGGTGCCCACCTGCCGCACCCAGGCAGGGCACACCAAGGTGTGAGCTCGCACTACCAAGGGCATCCTAGCACAGAGAAAGTACACTCTGCACAGCTCCTGGCAACAGGCTACCCAAAGGGAGCATACACCGGCAGCTTCGTGCTACAAAGCGGCCATACTCGCAGGATGCTTAGCGGAACAGGTGAGTTCACGGACCCAGACACTCATACAGCTCAACCTGTACATATCCAAACGTGTACCGGAGCGGTAGCTAGTGCAAGTCAGAACCCCAGTGTGGCTCCCACTCGGCACACTAAAGCATGCCTAGTGAGAAGCAATACAGACCTACCCCCAGGGCACAAGTATTCTATAGAGTGGGCCATCTTAAGCTTGACCCAGGCTGTACTGGCTTTTCTACTGTTTCTACTTCAACTTCTCTATGGCATTAAGGGTGATTTTGCAAAAGTACCTCTCACCACATCAATGGGGGACATTTAAGATCTAGGATAAGCTTAACTCACAGGAAAAGGGCTCATAAAACCAGTGAACTCAAAACTAAACTAGCTTTGGTCACAGTTGGTTCAGGCGTTTCAAAAGTTGGTATCAAGCACATTGCCCCCAAATAATGGCATGGATGGCCCCCACAGCTCATTTAAGCTGTGCCACCAATCCCCAGTGAGAAGAGAGCACTACTCCCTGTAGTTCTAGACATCCACAAGTGATGCTTAGGACTCATATCCACCATGGCTCAGGATGGGAAAGGACATGCACTCCAGACACCCACTCAGTGTCCGATCCCGCCCTTTGAGCATGAACACCCAGGTTTCAAGGGGATAATCACTGCCCCCAGCTACCATCAAGGGTTATCGGCTAACAAAAATTCTGTTCCAAGGTACTTTCTATCTGGTCACTAGGATTCCAGACACTTAGGAGTTAGACTCAATGATGCCAAGCCAATCAGCTAGAGAGCCTTGCTTCTGGTAGTCCTACCCTTATGTGAGGAGTTAGCAACTAACAGGGGCCCGTTTGTCCGAGGTGTTTTTTTTCCTCACAGTTCAGGGGATCAAACCCAGGGCTCTCACACATGAGCTACATCCCTAAGCATCCTATGTTTTTTGTTTTTTCAAGACCAGGCTTGCCTTGAACTCATAAATCTTCCTGCCCTTGCCTCCCAAATGCTGGATTAAAGGTGTGCACCACCACAGCCCAGCTACCTCCATGTTCTTATTTACACCTCCAGCACTCCTACCTGGGTCACGTGTATTTTTGTGTGTTGTGTGTACAAGGAGATAAAGCCCAGTGCTATCTAAGGCAGATGGATGGGGACCCCAGAAAATAGCTAGCCAGTTATAATACAGTGCTTTTCTACATGGTGGGCAGGCTCTCAAAATGCAGCCAGTCAAAACCCTTCAGGGACACTCCCAATCTCCAGTAGAGTTCACACTCTGAAAGCATAGCTTTCAACGATGGCTGCATCTGACCACTTCCCAACCCAACTCCATCATCCATTTGCTGGGCACAGCTGGCCTTACCCTGGGGAATATCAACCCCAGGACTTTTGAGGTCAAGGGACTACTGCTTAATGTTGTTCCCCAAGTCTTAGCCCTCTAGAATCCTCCACCACAATGCTGACCACACTGAATGTGACTGTTTCCACATCTCCCTGCCTACCAATAACCTCCAAGCTGGCTGGGACCTCATCTCCATATGGTCCCTAGTTCTCACCGCAGGACTGGGTAGGGAGGAGTGGAGTTTGACAGTCTTGTTGGTAAAGTTCACAAAGGATTTAAGGTGACCCTAACCCTAGACAAGGAGTTCCCTGGATGCCTCCTAGCCCAAAGGAGGTGGAAGGGTCTGGCCCAGTAGCAGGCAGAGTATTTCATGGCCCTGCCTGGTACCCACTCACCCCTGCATACCTTTCCTTCATCTGGCTTTCTTTCTACCCAGTGCACCCTGTTCCCTTTGTACAGATAGAAGCATCAGCAAACACCGTGTATGCTGGGAGGGCCCTGCTGAAAAGATGTCTGTTGCCACCTATTGGTGTGATGGCGCATACTATAACCTTAACATTACACAGGAAGGCCAGACGTATACTATAACCTTAACATTACACAGGAAGGCCAGAAGTATACTATAACCTTAACATTACACAGGAAGGCCAGAAGTTAGAGGCCAGTCTGGCCTACGTAAATTGTGACCAATGGACTCCCTGGTTGTTTAATATCCTAATAGCTGATATGCAAGGAAACTGGCATCCTCAGACAAGAAAGGGCATAGGCAGAGCTAGCTTCAAAGTTTGCCAGACTGTGTACCTATGGCTTTCGTATCCAAAGCATTTGGTGCCCAGCTCACAGGCAAGGTGGTCCCAGGGACTTGTGGGAAGCTCAACACCCTGAAAGGGGTTTTGCAAAGCCTGGGAGAAGTTTGTTATTAAACAGCTCCTGCCCCCAACATTTGGACAGGAAATCTCCTTCCCTCCCCAAACGATCTTCCTAATTCCTCTCTTCAGGAGGCTGCTTCAGGACCTGGTAGTCACTGATTTCAGGAGACTCTCTCAAACTCAAGTGGCTGGTCCCTCCTACCTTGCCACACCCTCAAACCACCCAAACCACTCAGATCCTCTTTGGCCACCGCCACCCACAAGAGAAAACAGAGCTGGACACCATGCATGTGGGCCAGGTCAGGGTGGACACACAGCAGAAGGCCAGTTTAACACTGACTCAGGGCTGGTGTTTCTCACAACAGCTCCCATCTGCCTGTAAAGTCCTGAGGTTCATGGACTTTTGAAGGGAGGCCCTAGTCCCACTCAAGATCCATCTCCAATCCCTTCTGACCGGGCCAAGAAAACAGGAAGAACTTTGAAACACCAGAAACGATTTTAAAAAAAGAGGCAAGCAGGGTGGCTGGCCAGGCTTGTGCTCAGACTGTATTCACATCAGACACGTGGCAGCTCACATTGGTCACACAGACACGTGGCAGCTTACATTGGCTTTAAATATGGAAAAGCCAGGGCCTTATGGTCCCACGTTGTCGTAACACCAGCATCAGGGCAGCCATCACAGTCTGGGATAGGCCAGGGCCAGGGTCTTGGCTTAGGCATAGCCTTACCCTGTCCTCCTCACACACTGACACACTCCGCCTCCCATCCCCACCAGACACACAAGGAAGGGATTATTGCTGGGCACATGTCTACTTTTATGAGGGTTTCTGGAATGTTGGAGGGGTATTCTAACCCCTCCTATGGCCTGCGCTGGGGCACTTCTGAGAATCTCAGGACATGACCCAGAATAAGGAATAATGTGTTCTGGGACCTGGAAGGCAGGTGGCCCGTCTTGTGGTCTGATGGGTCCCAGTCAGTTCAGCCTGTGGTTATACTATGGTCCAGGCCTAGAGGACACAAAGCCCCCATTTCCGGCTCTGACAAATGCTGAGAAAAAGTGACAGCACTGGGCAAGCAGAAGGTGGTGGCCTAAGTCCACGAAGGGAGGCAGCTCAGGTCTCACTTGGCGGTTGGTGGCGGCCAGTGCAGTGCTGGGGTCAGAGAACCGATCTGGCCCATATTCTGCTCATCTGGACTCGGACCAAGAAGCCTAGAGTGTGGCACTGGCTCTCCCCTGCCAGCTCCTGGCTCTCCCAGGTCCGGGGTGGAATTAAGAACACTCTGGTAGCTATATACATTCATACAAATACATAAATACACGAAGCCCCGAGCTCCACAGAGAAGAGCTGAAGGGGCGCACCTTTGTCCCAAGATGGCCCAGACCTCGTCAAACTCAGCTGGGCCAGGGGTTGAGGGGCGGAGGACACTGGGGACAGTTCCGGCTGTGTTCCCCAGGCCACCACTTGCGTGGACAATGGGGAACACCGCTGTGCAAAACTGTAAACGTCACTGAGAGTGGCTGCTACCGCCAACCACCGGTGGGGGCCTCTGCCTGGGGACTAGAGGCGGGTGGGGAGCTCTTCCTCACTGTCGCTACAGTTTCCACAGCAATCCTGGAGGACAGGGAAGACATGAAGGGAGAGAGGCACAGCAGGTGCCATTAGTCACCATGAAGGCCGACCAAGGCCAGTGTCATGCCCAGAAAGGGGCTGTGGGGCCCCACAAGTTTTAGAGTAGCAGCTCAGGTCAAACAGTCAGGGTTCAGCTCTTCAGCGACAGACCGAGGTAAGACTAGGAAGCTCCCAGGGTCTGGCGAGCAGGCCTTTGTCCATCCCCTGGACAGACTCAGGCACAGGGAGGCGGATGCTAAGTGGGGTTAGCAGCTCGAAGGGGTCAGGGAGCAGGGAAGCAAGCACAGGGAGGGAGCGGGGAGGTGGACACCAGACTTCTTTCTCCTACATCTCGCTTCTGTCATGGAAGGACTCCCTGGGGCTCCCCACGGTCAGGCATCAAGGCCCCCCCATGAGGAGCCCACACTGCTCACCTCTGGAAAGAGAAAAGAGGCCATGAGACCAGCCAGGCGTGGGGGACAGGCAGGAATGAGGCTCCTCAGGCACCACCGGAAGGGCTGGGTGATGCTCACTCCCAATGTAGGTGAGCACCAGCCCCGCCTCCCACCCACTATCCCCGTGGAGCAGGTAGGGACACAGGTCAGCCTCACACAGGACTTACTTGGCGACTAAAGAGCCTCTGCAACAATCCCTTCTTGGGGGGTGCGGGTGGCTGGCCCTTCCAGTCCAGGTCTGGGGGAACAGATCCATCCAGCCCAAAGACATTTAGTTCCTGGAAGCACTCAGTCTCCACCATCTACCCAGAGAAAGTGGCTGTGAGAGGGGTCCCAGGGACACCGCCGGGAGCCCTCCCCACTTGCAGGGTAGTCCCTACCTCGTTTTGCCAGGGGATGGACACACTACCCGTGGCAAACTTGTGGTAGAAGTCTTGATCAGTGGGCTCCAGATCCACACCTTTAACCGTAGAGAACTGCTCGATGTCCAGAACATCCTTGCAGTAAATAGCCTGGGGCTGGGGGTGACAGGAGGGGTCAGAGGGCCTCCATCTCAGCCACCCTTGTCTTGGATCTGCCCTGACACCTGCGTTTGGAGAGCAGCAAGGTGCCCATGCACGCCTCAGCTCAGCACTCCCTTACCTCTGAAGCACGCAAACTGTAGCCTAGGGTCATGACCCTTGGCTGTGCAGTAACCGGATAAGGCTGTGCACAGGCCTGCTGCTAGGCCGGGCAGGCCTTCTGCTTGTACAGGACCGCCTGGGAATGTGGCTAGGGTTCGGGTGGGAAGGGGGGGGGTACTGGCTCCCTACAGGGACTGGAGGGATCTCCACTCTAGACTGTCCAGGACTGGGATGTTTTTCACATCTTCCCAGTCGCTGCTGGGAGTTAGGCTCTGCATTTGAAGAGCACTTCTTTTCTATCTCTACACTGCTTTCAAAATCTTACCACAAAGGAAGTCAATTAAAATATTATCACAGGTCGAGAGGTGTAGTTGGTGGTAGAGAGCACATCTCAGCATGCTTGAGCCCTGGGTTCCATCCCCAGCACATACACTATCTACCAATCTACCTACTGGTACAGACATGATCATCCTGTAAAAATGGTGTGTCTGACCTGGAAAAGTCCAAAGCTCCCTACAAGATATACCATGTATGACTTTGTAATTTTATAGCAATGTATGCACTGAGGCAGAGAGAATGCTCGAGTCTGCGAGTTCAAAACTGCAAAGGTAACACAATGGCCCTCATCTCAAAAGTAAAAGTAGATAGCATTATTCTTGATAGCCCTACCCCTCAACTATGGATAAAATTTATACCCATATAATAGAATATTATTCAGCTTTTAAAATGAATGGCATATTGGCCTATGTTCCACCATGGATGAACCTTAAAGCATTCTTAGCCAGTCACAGAGGACCATATTCAGCAGGGTCCCATATACCCACATATCTAAAGCATTCGAAGTGGACGAGTACAGAGAACCAGTGATTTCCTGAGACAAGAGGGAGAATTCTGAACCCTGATGGACATAGGGTTTTGTTCAGGTTCTGGAGAGGCTGGTGAAAACATTCTGATCTTATGTGGTGACAACCACATGACTCTTTCAATTGAATTGCATGCTTTACATGGGTTAACTGTGAATTTCATCTCAATAGAGTTGCTAAAAATGTATTGTCAGCTGGGCATGATAGCACATGCCTTTAGTCATAGCACTCAAAGGGCAGAGGCAGCCTCTGAATTCAAGGCTGGCCTGGTCTACAGAGCAAGTTCCAGGACAGTCAAGAGCTACACAGAGAAACCATGTCCCCTACCCCAAACAAAAATCAACAAAAAACAGCCAAGTACTGGCTCAGAGGTTAAAAGCTTGCACTGCTCTTCCAGGGGAACCCGAAACCTCTGGCCTCACAGACTCCTGAATTCACATACCCACACAGGGATACACATGCAGACTTTTTTTTTTTTTTTTTAATTAAAAAAAGAAGCAGGGCTGGAGAGATGGCTCAGAGGTTAAGAGCATTTACTGCTCTTTCAGAGATCCTGAGTTCAGTTCCCAGCAACCAAACACATGGCAGCTCACAACCATCTGTAATGAGATCTGATGCCCTCTTCTGGTGTGCAGGCAGACATGCAGACAGAATACTGTACACATAATAAATAAAAATTCATAACAAATTAAAATAAAATAAAACAGCATTGTCAAGCATGCTTTTTCATCTACTGCTTCTAACGTTAAGTTCCAAGATACTGACTTTATAAATTTGAACAATGGCCCATAGCCGTGTGACTATTTCAGTCAGAGGACATGCAGAGAGTGGGAATCCAGCAGAAAAAGTCAGACCTACTCGACATCACTCGGCCTCTTGGTGGGTGAGGTCTACCATGTGAGCCATCACTCAGGCCCCTCCCTGGCTCCCACACCTCACATCACATCAGGGTGAACCCCCAAGGTGCCCTGCCATCCTGAGAACATGCATTGTCCCTGCTCGGCACACAGTTGCGGTTGTATTGGTCTCACAGACGCGGTCCCTTGTCCCTAGGCTGGCCCTGCTCTGGGGCGTCAGTGTCTGCCCGGAATGCCCATGTCCCCAGATCCTGGCATGATTCTCTCCTCAGTTCTACTTACACAGAGATTATCCTGTGAAGTGACCACGCCCCCTCACGGCAGCCTTCCTAGTCTCCTCTCTTTGCTCCAGCATCCAGGACTACTTGAAAGCTCTCCTTGCTTGCTGGTTTATTTTGGTGTTCCCATTAGAGCATAAGGCTAGGCTGGCTCCATGGACCTCATTATCTCAAGGCCTGACATATATGGGATTCAGGTGTTTGTTAAGTGTATAAATATGTGGCTGATAGACACCAAACTGGACGCAGTCTCCACAAGCTTGTGGGAAGGAGGCAGCTCCCACGGGCCAGAAGGCATGAGCCAAGTGTCCAGTGAGGGTCTTCAATGCACAGTTTTAGAATTTCATTTCCAGTTCTTAAACAAGAGTTGCTCTTTGTTCACTGGGTAGCTGCCTAGCTAAAATGTGAGCTTGAGCTAGTAAGCCAGCAATGCCATTCTCTGGGAAAGGATGACTGCCATGAAAGACTAACCAATCACAGTACAGAGAGGAACCAAGTCCCTGTAACAGTCCTGGAGCATCCCCATGTCCACCGCTCGTCCCAACTTGTGCTAAAACTCACTATGTTGGGCCTCATACATGCACATGCACACATACACAAACACTCATACAGACTTTTTGGAAGGCAGCCCAAACCAGTACATGGGTTTTTCCAACATTTGCCCTGAAAGTGCCCTGGCCATTGCTCCAAGGACCCCTGCATCCTGGCTTGCCCAGACCATTAGCAAAGGGCAGTGGGACTTACATCAGGCTTAAAAGGGGGTTCCAGCATTCCAGCTCCCAGCCGCTTGAAATTCAGTTTCTTGAAAAGGGGGTGCTCCTTTACCTCCCGGGCACCGCCTCCACGGCACCCCAGGCGCTCAGCAGGGTCCTTGCTGAGAAGCTGTAGCAGGGCAGAGGTGGTGAGGTCCCTTATGGTTGTGAGCCTAGCCTGTAACGGCCGAGCTACCCCTTTAAGCAGCTGAGGGATCCCCAGCTCCAGCCCAGGCCAGGTCAGTCAAGCCTACAGCTTGTACCTGAGAGCAGAGTGAACGCGCTTGTGGGGAGAAATGGTCCGAGTACTCCTCCGGCACCTCCTTGACCAGCCTCTCTACTTCTTCCCGCTTGACCTTCTTCTTCCTCTGCTGGAAGGGTGACTGGCCTGCAATCATCTCATACAGGAGGCAGCCCAGGGCCCACCAGTCAGGGCTGAACGTGTACCGCTCATTTTTCACCACCTCCGGAGCTGGCAAGGGGACAGGAGTCAGGGCTGGGTGCGCAGTGAGGAACAGAGCCCGTGGGCCCCAGAAACGAAAAGCAGGGGTCAGTTCAAACACCCACGGGCTAGGCAGGGTGCCACTGGCCTGGTGGAGACCTCAGCCGTATAAGAAGCCACATTTCACCCATGGAAGCCGATGTGGCCCTGAAGGAGGGTGACAGTCACACCAAGGGTCCCCGTGTCTGGCTGTTCTGGGTTTTTTGTTTTTCAAGAATCAATTGTTCTTTGTTTTGGTGGTCGGGGGGAATCCCAATGCTGGAGTTTTTTTTTTTTTTTTTTTTTTTTTAACACAGGCCACATACGTCAGGCAAGTAGTCCACGAGCTACATCAAACCCCAGCACTTTTTTTTTTTAAAACATGAACTTGCTTGGCTAATTAAGTATTGGCAATTAATTCAAATTATTCTAAAAACAATTCAACTTCAGAATTAACGTAGGCCAAGTCAGGACCATGTAGCCACTGACTAGTAACTTCTGGATTTCACAGGGGCTAAAAGCACCTACTTGCTGATACCTCCCACCTGCCCAGGTAGGCTCCTCCAGGAGCCAGCTCTGATGAGGGTTACAGTAGAAACAGGCTAAAAGTAGAGTGAGCAGCCCAAGACAGCCTGGAAAACCTGGATATACTAGTCCACACGCTAGGCCTCCACTGCCTGTATCTCCGATGGCCATGTTATTCCAAGCAGGGGCCATTGCAGGGGACAATGGGCCATGGAAATGGCATTTGGTTCTCTTAAGCTTTACTCCCACAGGCCTAGCACAGTAAGGGGACCCAGGAGACTGTTGCACTAGGTCAAAGGGACTTACCCATGTAGCCCACAGTGCCCACACGGCCTTTGATGGTCTGGCCCTCAGGCACATGCACAGCCAGTCCCAAGTCAGAGATACGAATGTGGCCTGGATGGAGGCATTGAAGCAGGTAGGTCCATGATGGGCCAGGCCTTCCCATCCTATCCCTCCCACCTGGGCCTTCTCACCCACCATGGTCATCCAGCAGGATATTCTCTGGCTTTAGGTCCCTATGGGAAGAAAAAAAGGAACAGTCAGATGCTGCCATTTTTCAGGAACCCAGTATCAGCAATCTCATAGTTCAACTGTCTGCTGGGATCAGGTATGGAGCAAGTTGAAGAGCTCATTTGCTGCCACGGTAGAAGAGCCCTACTCTCCCCGGAGCAGACAACTCAGGGGAGCAGGGCAAGGTCTTCCAGAGCCAGACCTTCAGGAACTTTCTAGGGCAGTGAGAAGTGGCTCCAATCCAAAGGAGTGACGACTCCCACCCAGTGGGGGGGGACCCATCTAGGGGGGCTCCCTGGAGATCAATCCTTGGACTCGTTCACCGCTGACGTTGAAGCTCCTTCCCCTGGTGGCCAACGCTACCTTCTCTGTCACATGTGGCTACTCTTCCGTCCCTCAGAGGGCTGCTTGAGGCTCAGATGAAAGCGTCACCCATAACCACCATAAGCACAGCTCTCTACTACTGAGCCCACCTGCAAGGCAGGAATGACCGTCTCCCAGAGAAACAGTTCATGTGGGAAGCAGGGAGCTGACTAGCTCAAGGTCACACCGAGAAGGGTAAGAAAAACCAGAATTCACACACTGGTCAGCCAGCTAGACCCCAACACCTAGGTCAGCAGTACTGCAAATTATCGAATGTGGGTGAGTGTGTGCTTAGAGCCAGTGTTGGCTTGTGGTTAGACAAACCTTCAGCACGCTATTTTCCCACTGTCAAGCCTGACAGACAGCCTTAGCTGCCACTGCTGTACCTCACTGCTGCCCTGCCCAGGAAGGACCAAGTCCTGAACAGTCATGGAGAAGCTCAGTCCCACCTGTATACAATGCGTTCCCGGTGCAAGTCCTCCAGGCCACAGCAGATCTCGGCGGCATAGAAGACGGCGCGTGCTTCAGGGAAGCCGGCCTGGCCCATGTGGTAGATGTGGAACTTGAGGTCGCCTCCATTCATCAACGTCAGCACCAGGCACAGGGCATCCTTCGTCTCATAGGCATAGGCTAAGTTCACCTGTCCTCAGGAGAAACAAACCTTCAGGGGAGCTGTGGGGGACGGCTGGGCGTGCGCGTGCGTGCGTGCGAGCGTGCGCGCGCACGTGCGGGGCGTGTCTGTGCATGTGCTCATGGCAGCCACCCAAACAATCTTCTAGGTGCCACTCCTTAGGGCTCAGCAGGCTTCCTGAGCCTGGAATAGCACTCCTACCCCACCCTTCTTTGGTTCTGCCAGGGCAGGAAGGGACAGGGCAGAGGGCAGTCCCTTTGGCTACAGGGAGGGACTTTAGGCGGGTGGGTGGGGCATGCGGACGACAGTGTGAGCAAAGGGAAGGAGGGCGCCTGTGTACTTACTACAAACCTACTGTTCACTTTTTCCAGGATCTGCTTCTCGTTGAGCGCCATAGCCTCCCCTTTCCGCTTCTTGACTCGTTTCTTTTCCAGTTTCTTGCATGCATACATCTTGCCCGTTGCCCGCACCTGGCAGGCACATACCTGTAGCCAGGGTAGACAGGAACAGATGAAGGCCAGCCATGCTGGTACCCCATCTAGAATACTCTCTGCAAAGGCGTCAGGCGGCCACTCACCTCCCCAAAGCCACCTTTGCCCAGGACTCGGTACTGCCTAAAGGTGTTTTTGGTCACTGGCTGCCTACAGACAGGAATAAAAGAAACGAGTATTTACACAGGTATTCCTTCAGGAAACCCCACAACCTCGCCTATCCCAGTCTGGCCCGGGAGGGTCTCACCTTTCCAGCCACTTCCACTGCAGAAAACGGTTGAAGTAGATGCTATCGAGGTAGTCAGCAAAAGGCGCCATGCTTAGGTACTCATGGGTCAGCCTGTTGAGGGAAGGTGGAAGTCCCTAACAAACCCGACCTTAGCCCACAGGCCCAGGCCTCCCGTCTTATGTCTGCTCAGCTCACGAAGCATCACCCTTGTCCCTTAGCATCTTCTCACTAACACACTGAGCAGAAGACATGCTGACATTTCATGCTGACACACAAAGGGAGGGCATGGACAGGGAGAGGAGCTGAGCTTGCTGCGGACTCCAGGGACCGCAGAGCCCCTTGCCCTAGCTCAATTCCAGACTTGTGGGTATGGAGCCTTACCGGGTCAGCTCCTGGAAGAGGTCTTTGCAGGGTCCTTGCTCAAGCCGCTGGGCACAGTTACTCACCAGCTGTCGGGGAACTTCAGGGATGAGGTCAGGACCCTAGGGACAGGCCACAGACAGGTCAATGCAGAGAGCTCCCTTGGACAGCTGCCTGCTCCCAAGACACTGCCAGCTGTCTGTGGGTGCCAAGGGTGGCTGTGGGTGGGTAGTGCACTAGCTGGCTCTTTGCTGAACTCCCTTCCTGCCCCCTCCCACTTGAGACAGGCTAAGACAGCCACTGGCAGGCTTCCTGACCCAGGCTCAGCCCAATCCCTGGGCTCCATGCCCATGGTGTTGCCTGGAACAGGTCCAAGGCACTCACTGCCCAGGCTGTGGTCACTCCTCTGCCATTTGTCACTGGGCCCTGCCCACTGCCTCATCCTTCCCATCTCTGCTCAGCTCACTCACCGTGTGGCTCAGAAAATTCTGCATTAGCCGCCGCCCACAGGCCTTCCGTTTCTCATCAGGGGTCACTTCATACTCAGCCTGCAGGGTGAGAAGGGAAGAGCTTGGGGCTGAGAGGAGTGGGGGGAAGTGACGGGGGGGGGGGGGCAGTATCCTCGACCTCTGCCTGCCCTCAGTGCTCGGCTGGGCCCTGGGGTGGGGATACTCACCACCCCATCCAGGAAAGCAGTACAGCGGGTCAGCTCAGGCCTCGTGGCGCAGAACTCCCGAAATAACAGACGCCCAATGGGCTGACGCTCACACAGGCTGTGGTAGTCACGTTCTGCAGGTCAACAGGGGAGCTGCTGGGTCACAGACTTAGAATTCATTGGCAGGGCACTCTGGTCTATACCCCACACCTGGGATCACTAACTCCTGGCCCAAGAGTGATAGTAGCCATTTTATCCCTCAGGGCCCTCACTGCAATGCTCAGGCAGGCACCCAACCCTGTTATTACCCCAGTGTAACTTGGGGTCTAAGGGACCCAGAGAGCTTGATTAATTCAATTCAGTGGCACAGACTTGCATGTCACAGTTCTGGGGTTGGGTGTGGTCTTGTGTGGTTCCGGCCCAGCCCAGCCCACACCTGTTGCCTGCCTGGCGAAAGTGTGAGAGGAAGCTGTGGCTTCCGCTGCCCTCAGCTGGGCCTCCTTCCCAAGCAGGGTACATTCTACCCACATGCCAGCCATCAGCAGGGACCTGGGACACCTTGGCTACTGTTCAGATCCTCAGTCAAGAAATAGGATTGGGGGGGGAGGGGGCTTCTATGCCTTCTAGAAATAACCAGATCACACTGCTGTAGCTTTGGTGGGTGCCCTCAGGTCTGGCCTGGATGAGGCTCATAAACATAGGCCTGATGTTCCAAACCTGCTGGCCCCAGGCCACCTTTCCTTCCTCCAGCCCAGCCCAGCCCAGCCCTCCTCTTCCCCGAGCCCACTCCACTGACAACAGTCAATCCGAGTCTCAGCCCTCCACCCATTCCAAACCCAGGAAGCGAAACTGGGCTGGATCAAGTGATCTCAGTCTTTCTGGGCACTCGACACACCCTCCCCCGTGGTGCCCATGACCCAGGGCAAGGTCTGGAAAGGTCCTCATGGGCAGAGCCCAGGCTGCTCTGGCAGGCAGAGCTTCACCTCACCAAGGCTGAGCCGTAGCTCTTCACACTGGCTGATATGGGGGAACTGCAGCATCTGGCGCCATTTCTTGCTTTTGCCTTTTCGATTCCCACCACCGCCTGCAAGAACAATCAGGAGCTGGATCGCACTGGGGCCCCGAGCTGCTACGCACTCCAGCACGCCCTTCACAAGTTCCAACACACGGTCCTTCCGGATACCCACGCTAAGGGCCCCCAGGATGGGAACCAGAAAGAACAGTGAGGGCATTTCAGGTTTCTCCTTCACTGCCCCTAGGCAGCACAACTCCTGCAGGTTAAGAAGGTAGACTAGAGCCGGGCAGGGGCAGGGGTGGCACCTTTAATCCCAGCTCTCAGGAAGCAGAGCCAGGCATCTCTGTTACATAGAGAAACTCTGTCTCCAAAAACAACTACGGAAAAGTAGATGAGAGGCCAGGCAGTGGTGGTGCACACCTTTATCCCCAGTGTCCAAGAAGCAGATGGATGAGTCCACCCTAGTCTACCCTTTTTGTTTTTCTTTTTTATATAAAGTCTTATTTAAACTACAAACAAACCTTATTTTGCATACCAATCCCAGTTCCCTCTCCCTCTGGTCCTCCCAAGCCCTCCCACCACTCCCCCATCCACTCCCCAGGGAGGGTGAGGCCTCCCAAGGGGGATCATCAAAGTCTGTCACATCATTGTTTTTCAAGACAGGTTTTCTCTGTGCAGCCTTGGCTATAAGGGAACTCACTCTATAGACCAGGCTGTCCTCAAACTCAAGAGAATCGGCCTGCCTCTGCCTCCTGTGCTGGGATTAAAGGCGTGCACCACCATGTCCTAGTGAAAGGCAAGTTAAGTTGTCCAAGTGGCAAGTTGGTTTCTTTTCCTTTCTTTTTTATAATTTATTTATTCATGTCTTTTATGTATGAGTGCTCTGTCTTCATGCACACCAGAAGGAATCTGATCCCACTGCAGATGGCTGTGAGCCACCATGTGGTTACTGGGAATTGAACTCAGGACCTCTGGAAGAACAGCCAGTGCTCTTAACCTCTGAGCCATCTCTGCAGCCCCTGGTCTATATTCTACATATCAGTTCCAGGAAAGCCAAGGATACACAGTGAGACCCTGGCAGAAAGAGAGAGAGAGACAGACAGACAGACAGGGAGGGAGGGAGGGAGAAGGAAAAAAGGAGGGAGCGAGCAAACAAACAAGAACGTGGGCAGACAAGGGCAGCATGGTGGAGGGGTCACTAAGAGGCCAAGACATGCCAGCCAGAGATCCTATGTGGCATGGGGCATGCTTGAGATCCCAGGGGCAGCCTGGGCGACTTTCCCAGGCTGCTTAGAACTATCTCCCTGCCCACAGCAAGGTGGTGGTAGGAAGGCTGGGCTCAGGATGCACCTACCCTTGCCCTGATGCTTACCTACCGAGGTGAGCCCCTATCTGTAGCTGCCTGGGCCACAACAGCAGCTGGGACACCTCTAAACCCTGATGAGTAGATTGATGTTAGGCGGTTCCTGCAGAAACAGTGAGGGATAGGCGAACTGGACTGGAAATTTGAAAAACAAAACTAAAAATAACAGGCTGGGGATGATGGCGCATGCCTTTAGTCCCAGCATTAGGGAGTAGAGACAGGGTCTCTTCGAGATTAAGGTCAGCCTGGTCTACATAATGAGTTCCAGGACGGCCAAGACTACATAGGCAAGGTCTCAAGAAAATTAACCAAATAAAAAAATGAACACTGAAGGAACACAGAGCATGTCAGGGAAGGAGCCACATGTGTCTTTGGAACAACACATCAAGGACGGTAGGAGAGGCCTGAGCTCTACAGCCTCCAGGACCCGAACCTGAAACTCCAATGCATACTTTTGGCCATTGCTGCATCACCCACACCACCCAGTTTCCCCGGCGCCTGCAGAGGCACCCCAGAGCTGAGTGGGAGAGCCTCGTGTCCAACTCTCAGTGGGGTTGCAGAAAGAGGCAAGACCCAGCTCTGGCTCACTGACAACCTTAGGCAACCAATTTCACTTGCCTGGTATCAGTTTCCCAGGCACCACCTCCACCTGACCCAGAGTAAGTAGGTAGGAGAAGCTGACTTCCGGGAAAGGGGCAGGGCTGGGTCCCTAATTGGGTTCCCCGAGGAAGGAGGAAGTGCTGCAGGGTCCCCTTGAGAAACAAACCCTCTGGTGGCCCTGCGACCCTGCCTGTACCCTATGTGCCCCACAGCCTTGCTTCACTGAGCAAGAGACCTCTACTCACTAGCCTATGGCAAGGCCTCCCCAGAAGTGTAGCCCCTCCCACTCCCCTCCACCTAAGTCCCTCACCCAACCCTCCATTCGCTTGCCTCCCCCAGAAGCCACTTCCTCCTCGCCCTCCTCCCCGCTCTAGCAAGGCAAGAGCAAAAAGTCACATGCAAATATCCTGTCCTAGAACCGGCTGCCAATCTGTGGGGCTCCTTTCTACCCAACCCTGCCCTGCCCTCCTCCTGTATGCCTCTGGGGAAGGAAGAAAATCCAAGCAAGGGTGCACACCCCAGGATCATCCCTCCTAACCATATAACCCACAAGTTTGAGAGAAAATGGATTATCTGAGCGTGAATTCAGAGCCTTACCATGACATCCGGGAGGGAATTCAAGCCTAATGCCCAAATTCAAGTCCCTTACCCACCTCTAACATCACTGACATTTATTAAAAGCCAACTGATCTTTGATCCTAGCACTTGGGAGCAGAATCAGGATGAACTCTGAGTTTGAGGCCAGTCTATGGTCTACATAGCAAGCTCCAAGTAAGCCAAGGCTATATAAGGAGACCATCTCAAAGACAGAATCAACAAAAGAGCCAACTGTATACAAACAACACAGGTTTCCCAACTGCTGAGGGTCTGGTCACTTGGAAAGCTGGCTGCAAACTGTGAGCTGTTGTGTGAAACGATTCTGACACATCAATTCATGAATAGAAGACTCTGTGACAATGAGGCTTTCCTTAAAGCGTTGTAAATGGTCAATGATGTTGAGGGACAGCAAGCATGGCAAAGGCCATGCAGCTATGCATGGGAGTGGAGGCCGTAGCAAGTTCAGGATATGGTCCTCTAGGTGAGGCTCTGGCCCCCACTATGGCCATGCTATCCTGTGCCTCACCCAAGATCCAACAAAGCCTATACACAGGTACCCACAGTGTCTGGGCCAGCAAGGCAATGCCCTTAGGGGGCCTAAGGCCTGAACTGGCCAGCTCCAGGAAGTGAGGCTGGCCCCAGCTCTCCTACCCCTCCTCCCTGGCTGGCTGGCTGGATGACGAGGCAGAACAGAATCGGCAGATGCCCCCAGAGGCTGAGAGGAAGGCCCAGCCCCTGAGCATGATAAGGGACAGGAGATAAGATAGCCTCCCTTGGGCACTAGGGACCCAGGATGCCCATCCCATTTCCAGGCAGCAGCTCCCTGGGTGTGACATTGCACTGGGTGGGCAGAGGACAGCAGGTGCTGCACCACACTGGGGTTTCTCTGAGGTTCCTGGAGACTCTACTGGGTACCTTCTGTCCTAAGCCTGGGTCGCTTACACTCTTGCTGGATAATCTGGAGTTAGTCCTTAGCTGGTTTGAGCCTCAGTTTCCATCTTGTAACCTGATATAGAACAGTGAAGCTAATGACTCTGTCAGCCCATCAAAAAGTGGAAAACTGTCACTGTGTTCCTGGAGTTCTAAATGGGAGAATCTTGTTCAGAGTTGGTTCCCCCAGCACCCTGGACAGAGTGGAGCAGGATGTCGCTGAGGTAGTGTGGCAGTGCGTTTAATGTCTGGTCCTGTGTCACCTAGGACCCTCACAGAGCAGGTGCAAATTAACATCTGGAGTGAAACCGACAAGGAGCTACTCCTGGAGCACATCCATGTGCACACAGCTAATTCCACAAGACTGGTTTCCCAGCCAGGCTTTTCGGTCCGAACAGCCAGCCCAGTATGCTCGGTCCCATTTATTTCTTTGTGCATCTGCCCTAACAGGTCATCCTTGCTGGATGCAAAAACCGTTGACCATTCACCCGTTTTCAGTGTCTAGAGTCTCCTAGTTTGTGGCCGTTCTGTTGGTAATGTATGTGTCCACAAGTTTCCCCATGTCGGTTGGGTTGTCTATGTAAAGGCTTGGTTCATTCATTCTCCAATCTTTACAGATTACCAACTTTGTGCTGTTCAGGGCATCTGGGCCTGGGGCACGTGGGCCACCTTCCTGCCTCTCACTTAGAAGGCCTCAGACACAAGCTCCTGGGGCTCACGTCCCACTTTTCCTTTTCCTTCCCTTTCTCCTTCATCCCCCACACCCGCAGCGATGCCCGCGGCGCGACCCCCGCCCCTCTTGGGCCCCTGGTTCCGGGGGCAGGTGCTGGGGGCAGGCCGGAAGGGCTCGTGTCTGCACTGAGAGTCCGGGTGCAGACTCCCGGGCACGAGGGTAGCTGGGGCCCGGGTGCCCCGTGGGGCTCGGAGGTCGCGCGCCCGCGATCCCCGCACCCGGGCCCGGCCGCCCGCCTGCCCGGCCTCACCTTCCCGGGCCTTGAGTAGCACCGTGTTCGCTACGATGTTCTCGAGCTCCATGGGCTGCAGCGCCGCCCGGCCCGCCAGGCCGCGCCGCCGGCCGGGACCGCCCGCGAGAGCCGGGGCCGATGACGATCGGCGCGGCTCGGCTCGGCACGGCTCGACTGAGCGCGCCGCGGCCTCCCGGGCCTCCCCGGCCTCCCCGGCCGCCGCCGCCGCCCGCCGCGCACTCTGCGCCCCTCCCGGGCCACCGGCACCGCCCCGCTCCGCCCCGCCCCGCCCTCTGTTTACTTGGCTCAGGCAATAGGCGAGCGGACGCTCCCCGCGCCACGCTGCTATTGGTCAGCCTCTTCGTCCTGCTCCGCCCACGGAGCCGGGAACTCGCTCCGAGCGGGGAGGGGGCGGGCCCCATTGCGTAGCCTCTTCCTGGTTGGACTGCGGGCGGGGTCCAGCCCCTAGGTTCGAATTTCTAGGCTTTCGTAGGATGCTGAGCTGCCAATTAGGGCCGAGCCTCCGCCGGGGAGTCGGAGGAGGGCTCTCGGGGGCCACGCCCAGGAGACAAAAGCGTATGATTGGATAAAGGTAGCGTCAATCATACAGCACTGCGATCTTATTGGGTTATCCGATGGGGGCGTGACCGAGTGCCTTTGGCCCGCCGATAGGATTTCTAGGGTTTTATTGCGATCACACTGTGTATCCTGCCTGCCTGCAGGTAGCTTGGTTAGTATGTGTGTCCTGCCGACGCCTCTTGGGGCAGCTACTTCTGAAGGGCGCCCGTCCCGAAGCGAGCAGAGGACGGAAGGAGAGGAATGCCTGCCTACCCAGCGGCGCCTGCCTCTTGCCCAGCCGCACCCCGCCCCCGCAGCCGGATGTTGTGATTTCTCTCCTCCCACCCGCCCAGTCGCCTTCGGCTTCTACTGCCTTATAAGGCAGCGCTACCATCCCAAAACGTTGAGGTTGAGTTCACACCCATTATACAGGTGGGGAACTGAGCCGCTGGTCGTTGAGTGGCTGGCTGCACGCCGAGACTGGGGGAAAACAAGTCCGAATTTTTGCAGCTCATCAACACAGTATAGTTGAATATCCCACTTCCTCCTCCCCACCCCTTTTCTCACAGCAGGAAACGGAGGCTTGCCCAAACTCGGGGATTAAGGAGCAACCGGATTCAACTAAGTGTCTTTGATCCATATTCATTCATTCATTCCTGCAAAAATATCCAGGCACCCAGCCAGGTACCGGATATAGTGGTGACAGCAAGAATACCAAAGTCTCAGTGCTTACGTGCTAGGCGGGAAGAAAGGCGGTAATAACCCTGTAAGTGAGCACATTAATGGGTGGTTTTAGAATGATGCATGCTACTAAACAAAACATCTAGGGATGTAGCTTTGTGGTAGAGCGCGCTCAGCGAGCCCAACGCCCAAGTTCATTAAAGAGACCAGAAAGGTCTCAGGATGTCACATTTGAGTAGATCCAGCAGAGGCATAAAATAAGTTTGGCCAGGGGGAAAAGCATGGACGACTTCGGAGTTCAGTGGTCCGAGTTAAGAAGAAGCAAGGGTGTGAGCTAGATGGTGGAAGCGTTGTGGTTTACAGGGAGAGGTTTGTTCAGTGATTTGTACTTACAAATGATAGCTCTGACTAGTGGACTATTAGGAGCCTAATGAAGTCTGTTGTGTCCAAGTGAGACTTGAGGGCTGAGCGAGAATGTGCACATTTGAAGTTTTGATGGAGTAGAGGATGGAAAGAACCATCTGGCTAAAGACGACTTTCTGTATTTCCAAGGGTCTATAAAGGTGGCTGGTCAGGTGGCTCAGCTGGTAAAAGCACCTGAGGCCAACCCTGACTAAATATAAAGATTTGAATTTGACCCGGGTTGCATGTGGTAGAAGAGGACAATCAACTTTATTCTCTAGCTACACACAGTAAATTAGTTAATATAAGTAAAGAAATACATTTAGGGGACTGGAGAGATGGCTCAGCGGTTAAGAGCACTGGCTGCTCTTCCAGAGGACCCAGGTTCAATCCCCAGCACCCACATGGAGGCTCACAACTGTCTGTAACTCCAGTTCAAGGGGATTTAGCCTGCTCACACAGACATATATGCAAGCAAAACACCAATGCACATGAAATAAAGATAAAATATTTTTAAAAATGAATTTAAATAAGCGCAGCATCAATAAGGATGTGTAGAGGATGGAAGTGCAGCTAATGAATGCAGGACCCAAGGGCAGAGCATCCGTGTACTTTGGGGTGAGCAAGGGGCACATGAAATGAAGATAGCTCTTGGATGGAGTCTGAGTCAAGGAGGTGCATGGACTTCTTTTGGAGGTTAATGGGGAGTTGTGGAGGCAGATTTTTTTCCTTCGAGACAGGGTTTCTCTGTGGCTCTGGAAGCTGTCCTGGAACTCGCTCTTATAGATCAGACTGATTTCAAACTCACAGAGAACCGCCTTCCTCTGTCTCCTGAGTGCTGGGGTTAAAGAAGTGTACCACCACTGCCTGGTGTGGAGGCAGATTTTAAGTAGGGGGAGTAGATTTGCTTTGCTAAAGGGCTGCAGGCTGCACTGTAGAAGTAGGCTGGGAAAGGCAGGCACTCTGTTTTGGTCCCATCAGGGAGGAGTCCTAGGAGATGTAGAAGTGGGCCCTGACAGTCACTAAGGTCAGAGAAAGGAAATATATTTACTTGCTTGGGTCCCAGGTAGCAAAGCATGTTCCCAACCAGATCTTTGAGGCCAAGGAAGAGACCAACACAAGACAGCTGGCGGTCCCTTGAAATTCACTGTGGGAGAAAGGACAGAGGTGCTAAGCTAGCTCTTCCTGGCATGGGAAATTTAACAAGCACCCCCAGGAGCTGTTCGATCTCTTCCCATTCTTAATTTACCCAGAGTCCAATTTGGCTGTTTACAACCAAATATTTGGCTAAGACAGGAAGTAGACCTTTTGCAATGAGCCATTAGCAGAATGGTGGTACCCTGTCCTCCATTGCAGCAGCCAGGGCATGTAAACAAGTGGCTTGAAACCATTGTTGAGAGCTGGAATTAATTAGAGGTGAAGAGAAGATACCAGCCACAACTCCCAGGTTTTAGGAATGACTTTATTTGTTTGTTTATGACGTGTGTTGGTGTTTTGCCGTGGGTGTCAGTTCTTCTGGAACTGGAGTTACAGACAGTTGTGAGCTGCCTGCCATGTGAGTGCTGGGAATTGAACCCAGGTCCTCTGGAAAAGCAGCCATCTCTCCAGTCCCTAGAGATGTTTCTAAAAAGGAAAATTTGCCTTTATAAGTTGAGTGACTTTTCCTGGGAAGACATACACAGACATCTATTCATCCCAGATAGGGCACCAACAACAGGTCATAGAGACAGTCCTACAGCTCTAGCCTCCTGAACCAATGGGTCTATCTGGGCTAATTACATCATGGGTGAGTCACAGTGGCTGAATCACCTAGAAGCCCAGCCAGCATGGTGAGGACCTGAGATGGCTGTGTCCCTGGAGCTCAGTGCCCAGTGTGCAGGGAGCTCCATCGAAGAGAAACTTCTCCCACAGTTCTTTCCTGCTTAGGGAACCCTGTGAATCTTGAAACTGTCTGAGTTTCCTAAGCCTGAGAGGTCTTGCATGCACCCACCTATCTCCAGGAAAGAACATTTTAATTTGGACAAAATAACCACACGACAATGTGAGAGGCACATTTCCTGGAATTTGACCTACAGAAGTCATTGCACTCAGGCCAAAGAAATAAACATTCAAGGCTGCTGACATTGTTCAAAAAGGTGCACTAATTGAGTAAGTGAAAATTGACCCTTTCCTATAGAGTGACATGCTATATAGCTCCTCCCTCCACCCCTCCACCCCTCCCTCCCTCCTTACCTTTCTTAATTCTTCCAACAAGCTCTTGATTATTGTCACCCAGGCCGGTCTTGAACCCTGACCGAAAGCTATTGCGGTAAATAAGGATCAGGATAAACAAATAGGCTGAATAGATGTTTATTCAGGGAGAAATAACTTACAACCTAGACAGATGAACACCAGGAAATTCAACCCGATCCTCTCCTGTCCGAGTCATGCCAGAAAGAGAGCGCCTTCCTGGCCCCCTCCGACCTCCTTCCTCAGGTCACCTCCGCCCATAGCTCCACCCCCCAATGGGCGTGGTCAGTGCTACAGAAGGACTACCTCACTACAATTCCCCTTTTAGTCTAAAGAAAAGATTTAGGCTTAATACAAAACTATATACAAAACAGTGAATAACAAGTGTGCTCTAAGAAAAGGAAAATCGAGAACAAAATGACCTACATATCTAGTCCTAGGGTGAGGGCATAATGGAGTTTACAATAGAGTTGTCCTAAGCTGGAAAACGTAAGTCTAGTACCTAATATATCTAACTAGGAAGAGAGAATAATAGTTGTGATAGTTTAATCTTCAACCTCATCAAGACCTGAGAAGGAAAATAACAATACTAGAGTAGACAGGAAATGCGGATGGACACCTTCCAAAAGGTACAGCAAGGACAGAAACAGCAAGCCACCTGAACAGTCACCCTAGGTCTCACAGCGATGTTGGTACACCCAGATTTGGCTAAGGCCAAGAGAACTTGACAGACCACAACAACAGCAGGGAAATAGAATGGCTGTCTTACCCTGACTTGGCAAGGTCAAGCAGTCTTCTATATTTGTCTCCTGCAAGCACATAGGACTGCATGTCCAAATCAGTGGTCAAGGTGGGGGCAATTCTATGCCCAACAGGCCATTAGCTGAGGCGAGAATGAACTCCAGCAGGAGCAACAACAGTGTCCAACATATTTTCGGGAAAATGCACGGTGCTGTCAGGAGCAACAGTGTCTCATGTCAAAGGAGTACTAATATTAAAACATTTAAATGCCATGTTCTGCATGTCTATGAAGGATTGAAGATTAAGCATCTATATCTGACTAATCTCATAGGTACAGGAAATGTGAGTGAAGATAATCTGTAATACTCGGGAACTTAGCTAAAAAGACTGATTAAAACTTTCCTGAGTAAAGCAGGAACAAATACTTAAACAATATAACTATTTACATATACCTACATGTAAATCCCTAAAATAGAGGTAGAGTATAAGTGTCAAGACAAGAGGTAGAACTATAAAGGGCAGCAAGATAAATATCCCAAATTGTATCAATATACAAAATGTCTTGAACACAAGAAAAGTATACATACGTAGAATATGGTAAAAATAATGTGCATAAATATTATAAGTGGA